TAGGACACCACCTTGAGGTGTGCCTAGTTCGAATGCATCTGTTCTTGTACTTTTAACTCCTTTAAATAGGACACTAGCACGCCTGTTGGATAGGTAGCTCTTTATCCAACTCAGAAGATTACCTTTGATTCCAAATTCAGCAAGTTGCTCTAATATTATTTCGCCATTCGCTACATCGAAAGCTGACTTTAGGTCAATAAAGGCTGCCTGTGTCCCATCCTGGGAGTTTACAAAATATTCAGCAAAGCATGTTTGTGTGCTACACTTGGGCATGAACCCATATAGGTTTGGGGCCAGTTTTTCTTTGACCTGAAACATGACTCGATTGAGAACAATTCTCTCCAAGACTTTACACATGCAAGATGTAAGGGAAATGGGTCTGAATTTTTGAGAGTTAGGTTTAGGAATTGGTATTATGAGACTTTGTGTCCAATTCTTTGGCAAGATACCTTGTGAGAGACTCATTTGATAGAGGTCAAGCAGAGGGTGGCTAGGGACATCATTCAGTAAGCTCAAGATGTTATAAGTTATACCATCCTCACCAGGGGCAGTTTGCCTAGGTTTTCCTAATGCTGATGTTAATTCAAAGGGGGTTATAGGAAACTGATCCGTTAAATCTGGTGAGGAGCGTGCTATTTCAATATTAAAGTTTCTGTTAATGTTGGTATGTCTTAAATGCTGCTGTATATCTGGGGGTAAGGAAGAAATTTGTGAGACACTAGACCATTGAGCTAGGAGCATGTCAGCATATTCTGCAGGAGTATGATGAAGCTGAACTGGGGCTGAAGGTTTGGTAATGTTTTTAATTTTGTTCCACATTTCTGATAATGTTGTAGTTCTATTGATACCTTGTAGGAATTGTTCCCAATATGTGTTCTTAACCTGACCCTTAAGCTCGCGAAAATCTCTGTTGGCATTAAGGAATGCGAGTAAATTGTCAGCTGTTTTGTCTCGTTTATAAGAGTCAGCAAGCTGAAGCACTTTAGCTCGCTCTGCAATAATAATAGGATCCTCTGTCCATGAGGAAGAACGAGTGTTCTTTTTTTTCCTTGATTTAACCCAGGTATCATAATAACTGGTAATGATACTGACAAGATCATTGTAAAAGTGGTCCACTGATACAGGTGTATACCCAGTGTACCACTTATGTACATAAGCCTTAAAGTGCTGTTTAAGATTGTCTGGAATGTTAATTTTAACTCTAGGATGAGGATTGGACTTAATATCCGCCACATTGTATTCACAATATATTGCAAAATGATCACTTACTAGTTCTGGGATGAGCTTAACGTTGACGTTGCTATCTACTAGGCTGTATCCAATCACATAATCCAGTCTACCCCCCAATAAATGGGTCTGTTTATCAGTATCATACACAGTAATATTATGATCATTAAGGTATTTCAAGAAGACCCTTCCATTATTGTTACACTGAACGTCACCAAGAGCAGTGTGACGAGCATTAAAGTCACCCATACATAACATAGCTGTGTTACCTGTAGGTTTCGGTAGCAGGTCTGCTTTAAGTACATTACATCGTCCATATATGTTATACAGTAGGAAATGGCTATTTGCAGTTTGCAATTTGAATTTTTGATAATGTATACTATCACTCCTATGATTTTTAATTAGTTTACAGATTAATCCACTCTTAATATACGTTAGTAAACCAGTTCCAATACTGTTGTTGTATGCTATATACCCAGGTATCCTGGGTGGGACCTTCTTGATAGTTGTGGACGTATATGGTTCCTGTAAACAGATCACATCTACGTCTCTCATTTTAGCATACAAGATTACGTCATTTATCCGAAGATAAACACTTCGAATATTCCAAGAAAGAAACTTAATTGTTTTTGTTTGATGAGCCATGGTTAAGTGTCAAGGGAATTAAGGTAACGTTTAAGTTCGTAAAACACTTGGAGAACATAAGTAATTTTGTTCCGTGTGTCCTGAGTACTTTTGTTTAGGAGGCGGTTAACCTGAGTAGGAGTTGGTGTTCTCTTAAAGTCTTTATTTTTAAGCAAATCAAGGGTGTCTTGACGATCTAGTTGGGGTGCCAGTGAGGGATCAATGACTACTCTAACACCATTCCCCACGGGGATTTGACACTCACGTTCCGTAGAGACAGGTGAAGTAGCCTCAGCAGCTGCAACATTACCACTCGCATCACTACTGGTGCTGGGAGAATTTACTTGATCACTATCGCTAGCATGATTCACTTCACTATCACCGGGCAGATTCATCACTAATGTTTGTATTTTAGCTTCCAATTCCATAATTTTACTTTTTAACCAGTTAATTTCTTCTGTATCTTTGCTTGTTTGCCTTAGCCCATCGAGGGTTGGAAACTGCTTACTAGAGGTGACATTAGGAGCTTCCAGCTGGGTGCCTCCTGCAGCTGGACCAGACGCCTCCGGCGTCCTGCTCATGGTAGAGAGGGCGGGGCGTCGAGGGCAGCCAGGATGCCAAACATCTACACCTTGACGCAAACACCTGGGACACTTCCGGACCAGAGGAGAGGCTTCCTCCCCATCCTCAAGGGTAGGGGGGTCCCTGTGAGGACACTCCCTTGTTTGGTGCTGTTCAGCACAGAGCCCACACACAGGGTCATGTTGACAGTACCTAGAGATATGATGAGTACCATGGCACTTATAACAAACAACAGGGGGGGATACCCAAGGTTTTATAGGACTTGATGGGATGAAGTGTCCAAAAAAGGTGTAATGTTCAGGGGGAGGGTCACTGCCATTCCAAACAATGATGATCCTGTTGAGAGGATGACCATCCTTATATATCCGTCTTGCCTTGTAGACCCCGTTAAGGGTATAAGCTCTATCAAGAGGATACTCTTTGGGAAAACTGGTAACAATATATTCCTTAAATTTTTTAGGTCGATTGATGATGTCTTCTCTGGTGAAAACAATATTAGCAATCTCACCTTTAACCAGTTGAGTGATGATATCTTCCTGCTTACGTGACACAAAGATGTAAGGGGATGTTGGTCTAGGTCGGACTATATCGAGGAATGTGTTGGAGAACTTAGTAGAAAGTTGTTCGAACCATTTAAGTTTATCGTTGGTGGATGTTCCAGCTGGGAATGCCAGGCGCACATAGTCAGCGCGGGGAGCAATAGGAGGCTTGGGTGGGCGGGCCCCTGGCTGGGTGGGCCCACCACCGCCCACCTCCACCGTCTTCACACGGGTTCCGGTGTTTCTGTCATCATTGCCAATGTCCTCATCGCCATCAGCAGAGTCTGCAAGTTTAGACTTTCTTCTCGCATTCCGTGATTGTTGCAACTGCCACTCATTTCCGTTATCCAGATCAGCATCGGGTTCCATGTCATCGGGTGACTGGAACCCACTTCGAGCATCAACATATTCCTCGGCGGCGGGCTCAGGATCCATTGCTTGGAGATCACTTGGATTAGCAAGCACAACAGAAGATAGGGTGGTACTGAGCCCGGTTGCCATAACAACGGGCCAGGAGGCGCAGCACAGGGTAGCTGCCCGGGGCTCCACCACTCGCCCAGGCTAGGACACTGTCACCCACCTCATGTAAACACACCACCAGTCGCGCACACAAACCACGACCCTGGGAAGGAGGGCCCAAGGACTGTTTTACACACGAGGGGAGCGTGGGGCCAGGTACACCACAAGGCGGCCCAGTGCCGTCCCACTGTACCTCTGGGTAGACTCCAGATACCGCCTCACAAATAATGTCTGCATGAAGTTCTATACAATCCAGCTATCCACAACCTACTGCAGTTGGTAGTAAAGGTGTCGAACACTTAGTACCGCTGCACCTGAACGATTGGGCACGCTAAAGGCTCAATGTTAGGACTAGGCCTGTGTTAAACCGGACGAGGGGCACATCCTGACCAGCCAGTCCCGAGGCTACGGGAGAACTCGATGGGGAGGGGTACAGTGAAGGTGCAGGGGTGGGGGGGGGGGATTGTAGTGGTAAATCAACTTCCCTGGGAGGTGTACGCGCTGCGCCTACCAAGTTTCAGGTTGTTGGGGAGGTGGCTTGGGGTGATTGCACTGTGGTGGCTGCACTCGCAAACATTGCATTTGTTTCAGCTTTCATATTTACATTAACACAATTATACTGTGTTGCTGGGTGTGTGTGTGGCACTAGGATCACAAGCCACTGGTATAAAGGGATTATTTGGTGAGGTATATAGGGCCTTTAATCTCTGGTGGTTATTCCCTGACTGAAGGTCATAGCAGAGGTCACAACCGGTCTTTCACCTCAAGGCTGAGCCCAGCCAACCCCGCGCCAGGGTTGTAACCTTACTCATGGTACCAAGCCAACCATGCTGCAGGGTTGTAACCTCACTCGTGGTACCATGCCAACCATGCTGCAGGGTTGTAACCTTACTCATGGTACCAAGCCAACCATGCTGCAGGGTTGTAACCTTACTCATGGTACCAAGCCAACCATGCTGCAGGGTTGTAACCTTACTCATGGTACCAAGCCAACCATGCTGCAGGGTTGTAACCTCACTCGTGGTACCACGCCAGGGCTGTAACCTTTTGATATGGTACATCACTTGATACTTAGCCGGGACGGACGGGCCGAAACGTCTTCGTTTATTAACTTGCTGATGTGTGGTTTGGTCATTGTACATAACTATTTACCCACACACATGTGATGTGGGGACTGAAACCCAATTAAGTCCCCTATGTTTCTTAATAAAAACATAGGTTATCACAGAAAATAAACGAAGCCTCATCCCATACATTAACACACTTATAGTGAAATAGTTTTGGGATCCTTCTCACACGGACAGTGTAATGCCAAAAAGGAAAGACTCGTTTAAAATTTTTTGTGGTTAAAAAAAATGTAGTCGGTTTGAAAACTGAAGACAAGACTTCATTTTAAATGTAATTATTAATTTCCTTTATTACTTTCATCATTTTTTAGTTTCACTTCAGACTCTATCAGATTATATATTTCATTCATATGATTTCATCTACGTCTCAGCTGCTGGTGAATGTTGCCATCACTCGATGTCTGATCTTCACTCACAGCATTTTAATCGTCGCCGTTGCTTCCTCTCGCCAGGCAGCAACACCAGCGTCATCAACAACCAGCAGACGCCTCACAATGGACATCAACTCAACAGACCACGTGCTGACCTTCCGCAAGACGGGTAGACGCTACCCTAGCTTCGCCTGGCTATTGGTCATCGTCAGTAACGTCGTAATCACAGGGGTACTCGCCGATACCACCTACAGTAGGGTCCTCCAGACCCCGTTGGAACTCATTGAGAGAGACGAGAGATACACGGTAAGTCACTCTACGTCTGATAGCTTGGTGACAGTAGTGGCCAGGGAGGGCTGGTGATCACAAGCTGGAAGGTCAGTAGTGGCCAGGGAAGGACTGGTGGGTGACCACAAGCTGAAGGGCCAGTAGCATTGTTTGCAAACTCTCATTTTGGAGTATTTACATTTGTTCATAATTAATGATTATAAAATTTGACTTTTATATATATATAATATGAAAATTTTGGTGAAATTAAATATATAAACCATAAGCACCTAAGAAAAATATACATCTACTCTAACAGCACTCGAGAAATGTCCGAGAAACAACTACGACACTCACTGAGGCTCCTACCACCACCGACACAACAACCTTAGCAGCCCCTGAGAAGGAAAAGAAAGACATTCGTCTTCCGAGAGCCCTGAAACCCCTCCACTACCTGGTCAAGCTTCAACCCTTCATCAACGGCAACTTCAGCATCCTGGGCTACGTGGAGGTGGAGATGGAGGTGCTGGAGCCCACCCTCAACATCACTCTCCACATCGCCGACATCATCACCAAGAACGACACTATCACGGTGAAACTTTCCATCTAATTTCTAACTCTAGAATTTTTCGGTCATAACACATTAGTCAGGAATATGATTTGCAATAAAGTTCATTTATTGTAAAACTTGTTCGGTTAGGCTGTTGCTTACAGCAACCCACATATATATTACAACCTGCTTGTATGGACCTTTCTGAAGGAAACTGTCCGAACTCCCTCTTGGAAATATTAAATTCTGTTTTGGCAATATTTCTTATACTTGGTGGAAGGCAGATGGAAAAAAACGTGGACCAATGATGCTCCAACTGTTTCTATGGCATCTCTACTCTTCACTGATTCTTTTCTGTATTCCTATCATATCTTTATCGTTATTATTTTACTGTGCATATTTAAATCCTGGGCTTTCTATATCTGCCAAGTATATATAATATATGATAACAGTTTCCTTTCCAAATTATTAATAACATCTTTTTATATAAAATGAATATTCAATTTTGCCTAATCAGAGTAATTTAATTTGATCTTATAACAGTGAGGTGCTGCTTACATTCAGTAAACACAGGGCAGAGGGATCATGCACAAGACCAAAGGTCTAAATTGCTTGAATAAATATACATATTTCATGAGGTTACAATCTACTATTTCAGATATATGTTTTAATTTACAAATATGCAACTTTCTGTTATTCACTGCCACGCAGGGCCAGGATGGATGCATAAGAGATGTAGCTGAATAAAATTAATATGGATAAGTAAATTTAGGTTAAATTATTTGGATTTTTCTTGTATACCAGAATAAATTAAATAGTAGATTGTACATCAGGCCACGAAGTCAAAAATCTTTTATAGTCTCACATTCAATAACTTAAGTGTTCAAATGTATGTTTTAGCAGTTAATCAGAAAGTTTACAGGCTGAATATTATGGCAGTGGCTTAGCCTACTAACCTACCAGATGTGCCTACCAAATCAGACATTAATTGCGATGAGTTAAAGACTCACGTGCACTTTTAGTCACCAAAAAACAGATCACATCACTCTTCAGCACGGGGACACAGGTGGAAACTTAGTACCCAGATGAGCCACAGAGACGTTAGAAAGAATTTTTTCAGTGTCAGAGTAGTTAATAAATGGAATGTACTAGGAAGTGATGTGGTGGAGGCTGACTCCATACACAGTTTCAAATGTAGATATGATAGAGCCCAATAGGCTCAGGAATCTGTACACCAGTTGATTGACAATTGAGTGGCGGGACCAAAGAGCCAAAGCTCAACCCCCGCAAGCACAATTAGGTGAGTACATCACTTAAGGTACGCAGTAGATAGATAAATATCCAAATGTTCAGTTTGATATACTTGTTTAGTTGTTCAAACTTTGTTTTCTACACATGATTATTTAAATTGTTTTATATATATATATATATATATATATATATATATATATATATATATATATATATATATATATATATATATATATATATATATATATATATATATTGCACATGCAGAACCTCTACTACCTGTGATTAATTGCATAGAGCCAATTCACTTGGTTTGAAATTTTGAGGAAGACTGGCGCACACTTCCTCCTTTTTTGGCACCCAGCCACAAAGGGGACCTCAGCCACGCTCACTCAGGGGGCCCCTCCAACCCGTCTTCCTAATAGAACGTCGCATTTTGCCATATATTCTTCTTAAGATTATAAAATTGCGAAATTGACATACTGTCCCGTTTTCTGTTTTTGGTCCTCTGGTAGATTAGGATAAGGGTACTTTAGTACGACAGTTTCTAGACGTTGGGAAACATTGGGAGGACGGGCCGCACACAGCATACAGGGTGAGGTGGAGCCGGATGTACTGGGGGCGTCATGCAGGAGTACGTGGAGACTTCCACCAGTGCAACGCAAAGCTTCTTCATAAAACAAGCAAGGTCCCTAATTTGGGGGCTGTCCTTAATTTTGCCAGATCTCTAAATATATCATGCTGAAGGAAGTCTACATTTTACACGACCGAGAGCTTCTTCTAGCCGGAAGCTAAACATTATATATATATAAAACGATTTCTATTCGAGTTTCGCTAGTGTTACTCCTCTGTACGAACTTGCTACCTTCAGTTAATAATATAATACCAAAATCTACTTTATCAATGTCTTTTCCGCCCATTGATATCATACAGTCTATTATGGAGGCAATAAAGCAATTCTCAACGAAGTTCATGTGGATGAGCTTTGGTTTGCTTGAAAAAAAACTTATGTCATTCAAATTCCTGGACAATATGAGTTACAAATTCCCAAACAATTTATTTTTATGCATCTCAACATTTCTTTTATCATCCTTGCTAAGATGATTAAAAATAGAAGGATGATCTCAAATCTTGCACATAACTATAATTTGACTAGTTCAGTAACAGTGAAATAAGCCTTCAGCTCTTCCAAATTCACCAAAATATTAAATATTACTTTTCCACACACGAGCCACCGAGTAGAGGAAAGTTTTTGAAAGGGGGAGAGGAGTAGTTCGTGTTGAATTTAAGTCTTGTTATTGTATTCATTACTTTAATCAGCTTGTATGTATTTATCCTCATTTCACTGTGGCTAAACGAATGAAGAATTTCAGGAAGCAGACATATTATATTTGATAGCATCTTCGACACAGCATGTTGAATACCAATGAATGACAAATATATTTGAGTTGCACACAGAATGGAGAAATGTCTTTTAGTCCACCTGTCCTCAGGTTAGGTTCATCCCGGCTGCGGCCGAACCCAATGACGCATTCATCTATTTTTAAAGTTCTGCGTATTAAAAATGTGTATTTTCCCAAATATTAGGTAATATGATTTTTCACTACAATGTGCTAAATAGTTAAGCCTAAGTTAGGCTTGGTGGTTAAGTTCTGTTGGCCATTTTTGGTATTTGTAGTACATGGGAGAAGCATTTACAGAAGTGTGAATTCGAGCCTTGGGAATCCTCGAGGGTGCAGTAGTACCCCAGGTTGCATTTCTTTTGACCATGTCGTGGCGTAGTCGACTAGAGCGTGTAGCTGGGAACACCCAGTGCATAAGTTCGAATCCTCATCACTGCTGCTGTGGATTTTCTCATTGATATATCACGATAATGCCCTTTCTCTGTGTACATAATATATCTCTGCTACGATGTAGATTATCGTATTATAATGTCTACGAGACATGACTAAGACAGGAAAGGTGACCATGGCCTGGGAACTCCAGCATTAGGTGATATAGAAACACATTTTATTGGTAGTTTGGCCCGTTCTACACGTTAATACTACTTTTCTCAGTGCATTTACTCGGAAGAGGCTCAGTTTTGATTATCACAGTGTTCTGGATGTTCCACTTTCCCAGTTCTGTACGAGCTTCAGTGTCCTTTTGCTCTTATTGTAAAAAAAAAAATTTTAGAGGAAATAATCATGGGAAGGTCCTCTCCGTGGAGACCCAGCATCCTCAAACTCTTGGTTCTCGTGTCTTCTCGGCCCACAGCTGAGAGACAAGGACGTCCCTGATGGACCTGATTTAGTGATTAAGAATCACGAGTATGACCCTAAGCGAGAGTTCTACCTGGCGTACCTTGAGGAGGCGCTGCAGCAGGGTCACAAGTATGTACTCTCCATGGAGTTCACCGGCCTCCTCAATGATAGGCTCCGAGGTTTCTACAGATCCAGCTACAGAGACGATCTAGGCAAAGAGAAGTGAGTTTTTTATATACGAACATGTCCCTGTGTAGCATAGTTAATGTCCCTCTGGCACTGTTGTGATATTGGTAGCTTATTAGTATGCAAAGTTATAAAAGTAAATTACCTTAATATATTTGAAGGGATTTCCTGGTAAAATTTACAGTAAAAACAATTCAAAGTTTCAGAGGTATCTTTGAAATAAATATTGTTTCCTTGGTAAGACAGTTGGTGTAAATATAATTAAACAGTAGAAAAAACTAACTTTATATTAATCGTCAGGTGGTTGGCGGTGACACAGTTTCAGCCGACGGACGCGCGACGAGCCTTCCCGTGCTTCGACGAGCCGGCACTAAAGGCCAGATTCGAAGTGCACCTCGCCAGGGAAGAGAACATGACCTCCATCTCCAACATGCCCATCAGCAACACCTTCCCAGTGTACGTCAACCCTCCGTCAGGAGCCCGCAGTGGTCGTGGAGTCTGTTGCTAGTGCTCAGTTACTTTATTATTATGTACAATAATGTGGAACATATGAACACTGTTCATGATGATGATGGAACATGGGGACAAGTTGTTCAGTATAACTTCACCAGGAGGTAAAGGTGGCATGTCTTGTGTTGCAGGGAGGGTCAGGAGGGGTGGGTCTGGGACCACTACCAGACCACCGTACCCATGTCCACCTACCTCGTCGCCTTCGTCGTGTCAGACTTCGGTCATGAGACCTCCACTAACATCGACCACGTCATTTTTAGGGGTAAGGATAATATTTTATCCTCATGCGATCTCCTGACATTTCAATCAATCTACTTCCTTATCCTTGAAGATGTTATTGTTTTTCAAATGTATGTCTTCCAGATTTTTTATGCATTTTTACTTCATTTATCTCGTTTATGGAAGAGTAGTTAATGGACAAATCGACATATTGCTCTATATAATAGGCAAAATGAGAGATAGTTGATGTAAAGCATCACAGAAGTTGACTAAGGAGAACGATGTCACTGATGTTACTTCTGTTTTTTGGCACCTGCGGCTACACAGTGTGGGCTCGGGAGAAGGCCCTGCAGCAGGCAGAGTACTCGCTACGCATCGGACCTGCCATCCTCACTCACTTCGAGGACTACTTCAACCAGTCCTACCCGCTTCCTAAGCAGGACATGGTCGCCATCCCAGACTTCGCTGCTGGAGCCATGGAGAACTGGGGACTCATTACCTACAGGTGAGGACCAAGAGAGTTCTGATGATGGGGAACTGATGGGGACTACCCAGTGATATGCCTCCTCTTAATGATGTAGTTAGCTTCACTGTGCCTCCCTGTCAAACACACGACGAAACTACGACGTTGCTGCAATGTTGGAACAGGTTGTAACAACTATCTTACAAATTGCGACAATTTTCTAACAAGCCACAAAAACTGTATAATAAGATGTAACACGGTAACAATAGGGACCATTACGTTGTGTGTTTACAGGGTTGAGTGCCATCTCTTTGTGCTGGCAGAGTATACCATACTAACTATACATGTCAGCTACCATCTCACCGCAAATACAACTGTAATCAGTGTGTGGATTGATGCATCAAGGATGAAAGTCACTGCAGTTTGAAGGGCCTATGGTGTGAAATGTTTAACACTTTTGCTGTCGTAATGGGGTATATAATGTATATATACATGTATATATATATATATATATATATATATATATATATATATATATATATATATATATATATATATATATATATACATGTATATATACAAATGTATATATATGTCGTACCTAGTAGCCAGAATGCACTTCTCGGCCTAGTATGCAAGGGTCGTTTTGCCTAATAGGCCGAGTGATTTTCTATTTTTTCAGTAAAATGTTTCCAATTAGTTTATTTGAATCATTAATATTATATTATATTAAGGACATAAATAATTGATTTAGTTATGTTAGTTTAGGTTCGGTTAAGATAGATTAGGTTAGGTTAGGTAGGGTTGGTTAGGTTCGGTCATATATCTACGTTAGTTTTAACTCCAATAAAACACAGTTTACTTATTCATAGTGAAATGAAAAACTTTGTCATTACATAAAGAAAAAAATTAGAAAAATATATAAATTTAGGAAAACTTGGCTTATTAGGCATATCGCGTCTTGCATAGAAGGCCGAGTACTGACTTCTGGCTACTAGGTACAGCATATATATATATATATATATATATATATATATATATATATATATATATATATATATATATATATATATATATATATATATATATATATATATATATATATATATATATATATATATATATATATTAGTATATTTTGGTAGCAGTCTTTCCTGTAGACATATATTATTAAATATGACCGAAAAAGTAAGATTAATAATTCTAACACGAATTTTCTCAATCTTTCGTACATTACGCTTCACTGTTGGAGGTAAATCAAAAATCAATTCTCCAAAATTCATTTTTATTTCTAGTCTGACGCGACACGGGCGCGTTTCGTAAAACTTATTACATTTTCAAAGACTTTAGTTCACAAATACACAACTGAATAGAACTTACGTATCTCCGATTTTATATCTACATTTGAGTGAGGTGGAAGGGGTGATGTGGCATTAACACAAGACAGAACAAAGTGTGGTATTAATAGGGTATTAATTTCATCAACACAAGACAGAACAAGAGTATTAATAGGGTATTAATTTCATCAACACAAGACAGAACACGAAACAATGGATATTGAATAGAAGTGTTTGTAGAAAGCCTATTGGTCCATATTTCTTGATGCTTCTATATTGGAGCGGAGTCTTGAGGTGGGTAGAATATAGTTGTGCAATAATTGGCTGTTGATTGCTGGTGTTGACTTCTTGATGTGTAGTGCCTCGCAAACGTCAAGCCGCCTGCTATCGCTGTATCTATCGATGATTTCTGTGTTGTTTACTAGGATTTCTCTGGCGATGGTTTGGTTATGGGAAGAGATTATATGTTCCTTAATGGAGCCCTGTTGCTTATGCATCGTTAAACGCCTAGAAAGAGATGTTGTTGTCTTGCCTATATACTGGGTTTTTTGGAGCTTACAGTCCCCAAGTGGGCATTTGAAGGCATAGACGACGTTAGTCTCTTTTAAAGCGTTCTGTTTTGTGTCTGGAGAGTTTCTCATGAGTAGGCTGGCCGTTTTTCTGGTTTTATAGTAAATCGTCAGTTGTATCCTCTGATACAGAGGATACATCTGTATCCTGTATCCTCTGATACAGTTGTATCAGGTTGTATCCTCTGATACAGAGGATACATCTGTATCCTGTATCCTCTGATACAGTTGTATCAGGTTGTATCCTCTGATACAGAGGATACAACTGACGATTTACTATAAAACCAGAAAAACGGCCAGCCTACTCATGAGAAACTCTCCAGACACAAAACAGAACGCTTTAAAAGAGACTAACGTCGTCTATGCCTTCAAATGCCCACTTGGGGACTGTAAGCTCCAAAAAACCCAGTATATAGGCAAGACAACAACATCTCTTTCTAGGCGTTTAACGATGCATAAGCAACAGGGCTCCATTAAGGAACATATAATCTCTTCCCATAACCAAACCATCGCCAGAGAAATCCTAGTAAACAACACAGAAATCATCGATAGATACAGCGATAGCAGGCGGCTTGACGTTTGCGAGGCACTACACATCAAGAAGTCAACACCAGCAATCAACAGCCAATTATTGCACAACTATATTCTACCCACCTCAAGACTCCGCTCCAATATAGAAGCATCAAGAAATATGGACCAATAGGCTTTCTACAAACACTTCTATTCAATACCCATTGTTTCTGTTCTGTCTTGTGTTGATACTTTTAATACCCTATTAATATCCCCTCATGTTCTGTCTTGTGTTAATGCCACATCACTATATGCCACATCATCCCTCCCACCTCACTCAAATGTAGATATAATAGCAGAGATACGTAAGTTCTAATCAGTTGTGTATTTGTGAAGTCTTTGAAAATGTAATAAGTTTTACGAAACGCGCCCGTGTCGCGTCAGACTAGAAATAAAAATGAATTTTGGAGAAGTGATTTTTGATTTACCTCCAACAGTGAAGCGTAATGTACGAAAGATTGAGAAAATTCGTGTTAGAATTATTAATCTTACTTTTTCGGTCATATTTAATAATATATATATATATATATATATATATATATATATATATATATATATATATATATATATATATATATATATATATATATATATATATATATATATATATATATATATATTATTAAATATGACCGAAAAAGTAAGATTAATAATTCTAACACGAATTTTCTCAATCTTTCGTACATTACGCTTCACTGTTGGAGGTAAATCAAAAATCACTTCTCCAAAATTCAAATGCCCACTTGGGGACTGTAAGCTCCAAAAAAACCCAGTATATAGGCAAGACAACAACATCTCTTTCTAGGCGTTTAACGATGCATAAGCAACAGGGCTCCATTAAGGAACATATAATCTCTTCCCATAACCAAACCATCGCCAGAGAAATCCTAGTAAACAACACAGAAATCATCGATAGATACGGCGATAGCAGGCGGCTTGACGTTTGCGAGGCACTACACATCAAGAAGTCAACACCAGCAATCAACAGCCAATTATTGCACAACTATATTCTACCCACCTCAAGACTCCGCTCCAATATAGAAGCATCAAGAAATATGGACCAATAGGCTTTCTACAAACACTTCTATTCAATACCCATTGTTTCTGTTCTGTCTTGTGTTGATACTTTTAATACCCTATTAATATCCCCTCCTGTTCTGTCTTGTGTTAATGCCACATCACCCTTACCACCTCACTCAAATGTAGATATAAAATCAGAGATACGTTCTAATCAGTTGTGTATTTGTGAAGTCTTTGAAAATGTAATAAGTTTTACGAAACGCGCCCGTGTCGCGTCAGACTAGAAATAAAAATGAATTTTGGAGAAGTGATTTTTGATTTACCTCCAACAGTGAAGCGTAATGTACGAAAGATTGAGAAAATTCGTGTTAGAATTATTAATCTTACTTTTTCGGTCATATTTAATAATATATGTCTACAGGAAAGACTGCTACCAAAATATACTAATATATATATATATATATATATATATATATATATATATATATATATATATATATATATATATATATATATATATATATATATATATATATATATATATATATATATATATATATATGTCGTACCTAGTAGCCAGAACTCACTTCTGAGCCTACTATGCAAGGCCCGATTTGCCTAATAAGCCAAGTTTTCATGAATAAATTGCTTTTCGACTACCTAACCTACCTAACCTAACCTAACCTAACTTTTTCGGCTACCTAACCTAACCTAACCTATAAAGATAGGTTAGGTTAGGTTAGGTAGGGTTGGTTAGGTTCGGTCGTATATCTACGTTAATTTTAACTCCAATAAAAAAAAAATGACCTCATACATAATGAAATGGGTTGCTTTATCATTTCATAAGAAAAAATTTTGAGAAATTATATTAATTCATGAAAACTTGGCTTATTAGGCAAATCGGGCCTTGCATTGTAGGCTGAAAAGTGAGTTCTGGCTACTAGGTACGATATATATATATATATATATATATATATATATATATATATATATATATATATATATATATATATATATATATATATATATATATATATATATGTCGTACCTAATAGCCAGAACGCACTTCTCAGCCTACTATGCAAGGCCCGATTTGCCTAATAAGCCAAGTTTTCCTAAATTAATATATTTTCTTTATTTTTTTTCTTATGAAATGATAAAGCTACCCATTTCATTATGTATGAGGACAATTTTTTTTATTGGAATTAAAATTAACGTAGATATATGACCGAACCTAACCAACCCTACCTAACCTAACCTAACCTATCTTTATAGGTTAGGTTAGGTTAGGTAGCCAAAAAAGTTAGGTTAGGTTAGGTTAGGTAGGTTAGGTAGTCGAAAAACAATTAATTGATGAAAACTTGGCTTATTAGGCAAATCGGGCCTTACATAGTAGGCTGAGAAGTGCGTTCTGGCTACTAGGTACGACATATATATATATATATATATATATATATATATATATATATATATATATGTCGTACCTAGTAGCCAGAACTCACTTCTCAGCCTACTATTCAAGGCCCGATTTGCCTAATAAGCCAAGTTTTCCTGAATTAATATATTTACTATAATTTTTTTCTTATGAAATGATAAAGCAACCCTTTTCTCTATGTATGAGGTAAAAAAAATTTTATTGGAGTTAAAATTAACGTAGATATATGACCGAACCTAACCAACCCTACCTAACCTAACCTAACCTATATTTATAGGTAAGGTTAGGTTAGGTATCCAAAAAAAGCTAGGTTAGGTTAGGTTAGGTAGGTTAGGTAGACGAAAAAACATTAATTCATGAAAACTTGGCTTATTAGGCAAATCGGGCCTTGAATAGTAGTCTGAGAAGTGCGTTCTGGCTATTAGGTACGACATATATATATATATATATATATATATATATATATATATATATATATATATATATATATATATATATATATATATATATATATATATATATATATGTCGTACCTAATAGCCAGAACGCACTTCTCAGCCTACTATTCAAGGCCCGATTTGCCTAATAAGCCAAGTTTTCATGAATTAATGTTTTTTCGTCTACCTAACCTACCTAACCTAACCTAACCTAGCTTTTTTGGCTACCTAACCTAACCTTACCTATAAATATAGGTTAGGTTAGGTTAGGTAGGGTTGGTTAGGTTCGGTCATATATCTACGTTAATTTTAACTCCAATAAAAAAAAATTGACCTCATACATAGAGAAAAGGGTTGCTTTATCATTTCATAAGAAAAAAATTATAGTAAATATATTAATTCAGGAAAACTTGGCTTATTAGGCAAATCGGGCCTTGAATAGTAGGCTGAGAAGTGAGTTCTGGCTACTAGGTACGACATATATATATATATATATATATATATATATATATATATATATATATATATATATATATATATATATATATATATATATATATATGTCGTACCTAGTAGCCAGAACTCACTTTTTGGCCTACTATTCAAGGCCCGATTTGCCTAATAAGCCAAGTTTTCCTGAATTAATATATTTTTTCTATTTTTTTTCTTATGAAATGATAAAGCTACCCATTTCATTATGTATGAGGTCAATTTTTTTTTATTGTAGTTAAAATTAACGTAGATATATGACCGAACCTAACCAACCCTACCTAACCTAACCTAACCTATCTTCATAGGTTAGGTTGGGTTAGGTTGCCGAAAAAGGTAGGTTAGGTTAGGTTAGGTAGGTAGGTTAGGTAGTCGAAAAAACATTAATTCATAAAAACTTGGCTTATTAGGCAAATCGGGCCTTGCATAGTAGGCTGAGAAGTGCGTTCTGGCTATTAGGTACGACATATATATATATATATATATATATATATATATATATATATATATATATATATATATATATATATGTCGTACCTAGTAGCCAGAACTCACTTCTTGGCCTACTATGCAAGGCCCGATTTGCCTAATAAGCCAAGTTTTCATGAATTAATTGTTTTTCGACTACCTAACCTACCTAACCTAACCTAACCTAACTTTTTCGGCTACCTAACCAAACCTAACCTATAAAGATAGGTTAGGTTAGGTTAGGTAGGGTTGGTTAGGTTCGGTCATATATCAACGTTAATTTTAACTCCAATAAAAAAAAATTGACCTCATACATAATGAAATGGGTAGCTTTATCATTTCATAAGAAAAAAATTGGAGAAAATATATTAATTCAGGAAAACTTGGCTTATTAGGCAAATCGGGCCTTGCATAGTAGGCCAAAAAGTGAGTTCTGGCTACTAGGTACGACATATACGACATATATATATATATATATATATATATATATATATATA